TTAGACAGTGACTCTTCAAGGGGGACTACTTTTCCCATGTATTTATTCCTGTTAGCCATAATCCTCTTGCCACTTGCTGTTCTACGTTGCTAGAGAACTCTTGGAGGTTACAGCTTGGACAGCTCAAAGTCCAACTTCATAAATACATTTGATTTCACAGCAGTCGTATGTGGTTTTGGCGCGGGTTGGTTAAAAGTCAATTATTGCACTTAAAAGGCTATCTTATTAGATATGCGAAACCAGCTCCTACTCCAGCAACACCTGCAAAAGCCAGCAGCACATTTCTGACGCCACCTTCTAGGTCCTCTACGTGGAAGAACTCCACAAACCCATCCTAGGAAACAAAAAAGAAAAGCACATTTTCAAGTATGGGTTTCCAATGGCTTAAAAACACTATTCATAAAGAAAAGATGAATTAAAAAATCTAAAGTTCCACCCCCCTCAAAACATAAAAAACCAATTATTATTTACCCAGGTTACAGAAGACACATTATTCAATTAAGGTGGCGGGGGGAGGTTGCCGCAGCACTCAGAAATGTAATTTACTATCATCCTCAAGTGATTCTTATTTTTTCATAATTTGAATCTACTGAAAAGTATCCAGCTGAATTACAATACCAAAAGCAAAACACTCAACAACCGTAAACAGCCTACAGAAAACCGGATTTTTGATGCAACAATTCAAGACAGTCATACCACACTGTCTCTGTGAACCCACTACTTAAAACGTTAGGCAAACAGAGATCCTAACTTGGAGCCTAAAACCTGAGTTGTGCATCATAAAAAGCTTTAGACAGCCCCAGACTTTCTCTATAAAATCCTTCATTCCATTTCCACTCCAAGACCCCTCTTCAACCTTAAAACAAACTTACCCAGCCTCTTTGTTTGACTAGCCAGTCTCGTTTTGTCCTTACAAGAACATCTGTGATGCTTTCTGCTAATGGTTCGATGCAGCTTTCTTGGTTTATACTCTTCAAGTGTTTGGCCACAAAGGCACCAAAAGAAATAAGAGTCACAATCCTGCCCCAGTTTGTTACTCCGTCACTGAAAACATGGACCATCACTCGAGACAAAGATTTGACATCGTCTTCGTTTTTGATGTCCAGTTTCCGAAGCATGCCTGAGAGGAAGAAAAGCATGCAGGTTCTCACGGCCTTTGTCTAAACCAGGGCATGATTTGTCTGCCCACCCACGGCGAGGGAAATCGCTATTTGGGGTCTATAGAACTCAGGCCGACCCCAGTTGAAAATTGACATCCCACCCTTTCCGGGCTTTGAACAGAGCTGCCATTTCCAAAGGAATTAGGATGGGCGGAAACAATGACTCACGGCCAGAAAATTCTGGTTTCAGAAATAGATTGCGAGCCGTTTCAACAGACTTGTTTTCGGTTTCCACCCACCAAAGGTCCTGGGACAGGTGAAACAAGGCAGTGCAGCCTCCACGACTTAACCCCCTTACCTTGGAAGGCCGTCTCGTGGTTGCGCTGTACCCCGTCCCCGACCCGTCGGAGGGTCTCTAACGCCTTCCGGCCGGCAGCCCCAGACCCGCCCAGTGGTTTCGCGTCCTTGGCGCCTGTTGCCTGCTCCCGAAGGTACCGAGAGATAATCTCCAGCGACTGCCGGTACAACTCGTCTTCCTCCTCC